TGGCTCTCTGCTCTCTCTGGCATTGTCGAACCTGTCCCTCGGATCGGCACCCATGCTTCTGCAGGCTATCTGCAACAGATGGTTTCAGGAATCTATACGGACGGTGTCAGTCATACAGTTGTGTCGTCAATATTTTCGGACACCTCGTTCACATGTCTTTGAGCACCTGGTGTTCTTTCTTTCTTGAGTTAATCAATAGGGACTGCACCGGCAATCAACATCACAGGCGATAGGCCTACAACTGCTCAGCCTGCAAAATTTACGTACGTCGCGAGAATTCGCGTCATGACATGATGACGGTGATGATGATCAACATATCATCATCATCATCATCATCATCGCCATGTCACCATCTTCGCCATCCTTATCAATATCACCATAAATTACCATCACCAACCATGAGGTAGACGAGGAGTAGAATTACATGCGTTCCCACGGGTCCTCCTATGGATATTATTTTTTATCAGTCTTGTTAGTATACTTGGCATTGTTGGAATTACTGCTGTTTGTTCTTGTTACTACATAAACAAGGAATAAGAATCATACTAATAGTGATGATAATATTCAGTTTTTCCTAGTATTATTGCTCAGCCAGTGGCACTACTTCTCGCTTTCCCTGCCGTTTCCCATGCAGAACAGTTTCACAGCGAATATGGTACCGCTGGTTGCTGTGGCTACGAACTGAGGATTCTCGAGCGGAGCCCGCCGCCATCAGGAAGAAAGCTCAGCAAGGGTCCAGCATCCCTGTTGCCAGTGAGGTTTGTTGGGCTTCGGGTTGTGGAAACTCCGAAGCAGCAGAGCATCGTGAACTTAAGGCTTTCGAACACCAGGCCGACATCCTGCAAACATCTAAGTTGAGTTTCCTTCTCGGGTTTCGGAAACGCTCCGATCTGTTTGTAGCAGTAGATGGGAGAAGAAGGTGGAAGTTATTTGTGGACTCGTGGGCCCAGGAAAGGGTTCCGGAAGTTCCGTTGTCGTGCAGTAGAGAGGCTTCAACATTGGCAAGGACTCCACAATATGATGGGCCGAGGCTGAGCTTCAAAGATGGATGAACGACGCAGGTGGAAGATTCGAATCAGTCTGCACTACCAGACACTTCGATATGGGAACCATGCACCTCAAACAGCTGTTCTTGTGGCCCTGTACCGTGACTTCTACTACTCAGGAGTATAACTGGGCTTCCTGAACGGTTCGACCAAAGTTGGTAATAGTAGCCCCTGATCATAGTAGAACATACCATATACTTGAAAAACCTTACCCTATGTCTTAAGGCTCCTAGATTGGGGCTCTCCTTACCCAACTGCTTTTTCGAAGGTCCAGGCACTGAAAAGCGAAAGCTTAGGATTGTCTTCGGCCTACTCGGCTGTATCGCAATGCACAGAATCTGGAGCCCATGGCCAAAATGCCCTAGACCTTCAGCCCTTCCGGCAAGTCCGAGTTGTCAGAGCGTTCACAAGCTGTGGCTCTACTGCAGTCGGAAAAGGTGTTAGAAAACTCTTCAACGAGAGGAGGAGTGGCAAAAAAACCTAAACAGCTCCCCCTAAACCCTAAACCCTAAACCCGCTAAGTGGGAGGGAAAATAACCCTAAACCCCTAAAGGCTGACTTCCTGATCACCCGTTTCCTTGGCAAGGCCGGCAGAGGAGGATCTCCGAGGCTCCCAAAATCTGCAGGGGAACCTGGAGATCCCGGGCGCTTAGGGCGATTAGGGGGCGTAGGGTTTGGGGTTTAGGGCTTTGGGTTTAGGGTTAAACTGGGGTTTCGGGTTTTGGCTTCAGGGTTTAGGATTTAGCGTTAATCTGGCAGAGTCTGAGCCAGAAACTCAAGGGCCCTAAGACGCGGCACCCCAACTTTTTCAGAGCCACCCGAAAGCCTTTTTCGCACGGGGCTCAAGTCTCGCCAGTTTCAGAAGAGCTCGTAGGTTTGGAGTCTGTGTATGCGAAGTTGGCAAGAAGTCGAGGGGAGTCGCATGTGTTGCCTCACTTGTATGTTCTGAGCAGATTGGGCCGAAACAATAAATTTCTCCAGGGCAACGTCTGGGGGTTGTGATGTTAAGTACCGTACGGGCGTAATTCATGGTGAATCGTGCTGTTGCTAGGTCCTAGGTAGACAAAATCTGTCTACCTGTCTGTCTGTCTGTCTATCTATGTATCTATCTATCTATCTGTCTAAATATATCTACCGAGTACACATGGTTCTTGTTGCCATTATTGCTGTCGTGCTGTCGCTGGTCATGGTCGTATCCAACCGAGACGATCAGGCTCAGTCCTACAGAGCTGTCCGATGATGCGGACAAGATGGTCTGGGCCGCTCGGCGTACTTCTGTTCAGCTGAAAGAGAGCATGCGCGCATCAAGAGGATAGGACGAAGGACTATCTAGGTCCTCTACAAACCACCAACCCCAAGAAACCTTGCGCAGCCCAAGCGCGTAAGAGTGAGTGGCAAGCTCAGCCCCAAGACATGAACCTGTGCAACCTCGATTCCTTCCTGTCAAACGCCAGGCATACTACAACCCCTTCTCGGCGCTCCTGGGATCGCGCTTAGACCCGCTGATACCGGGGGAGGGTGGATTGGCGCCTTGAAGAGCTGCCCACAAAGCATACCCATACCACCCTCTACCCCACCGCTCCCACCAAGCCGCAACCCATGCCTCTACAAGCCTAGACAATTTCCAGCAGATTGCTAAACCCGGCATAGTAAGGTTTAACACATCATCCCCACGAAACGAGCCGAACTCGCTTATAGATCGTCTCATAATTCACAAGTCCAGCTTTGATGCACACTACACTCCAGCCTCGGGTCGTAAAACAGGCAGCAATCCAATAATCTTCTCCCAGAACAAAGTACAATCTGTGTCCTTTCCAGGTCAAGTAGTAATTATTGCATTCTTGTAAACATCTTGAGCTTTTCGATGAGCGTCATTGGTCCCAATGCTTCTGCGGTTTTCGCGCTTTTTGAAGACAGCATCCCTTCTTATGCTTTATTTGGGACATTTCTCCATATGTCCTGGCAGAAGTGTTACTTTCTCGTCAACCCGCTTTGCTTTAGTGCTCACACTTAATTCATGTTGACAACTGCTCATGCAATGGACACATTCACTTGCTCCCTCTCTCTCTCTCACTCTTTCTCTCGTTCTCTCTCTCTCTCTCTCTCTCTCTATCTATGTATATATATATATACATGCATATGTGACATGTCCCATACATAATTATAGTTACACGCGATGTGAAGGCAATTTCCCCTATCATGTTCTAGGATACAGTTGGGTCGGCAGACTCGCCTCGGCACGCGGCGGCACTTCCCATAACCCCTCGAAGCCCCAAGGCCCAGAAACCCCGCCAGGTTCGCCAAGCTGCAGAAACCCCCAAACCCTAAGGGAAAAAAACCCAAAGCCCAGCAAAAAAGAAGACCCCAAGCTGTGACACCGTGGGTAGCCTGCAGGGTTTGGCATCGTTTGCCAGATGGCACGGGCTCCAAGACACTCGATGCGGCCTTCTTTGGGGCATTGGGCACAAAGTTTTCTTGGGCACTGGAAGTGAAGGGCCCTGCCGGCAGACGGCTTATGCTGGCATCCTACCGCATTGTTTTTTCGTTACTGGTGGGCGGGCAGAGGCCCTGGGCGCTATAGCATAGGTGTTGCTGCTTTTCCCAGTCAGTCTTACATTCGAGGTTGTTCAGTCTCGTTTATCAATGCTAAGCCCTTTACTTGGGCACGAGGTGCCAACAGCTCACAGTTTAGCTTTTCGTGCTCGTAGGCTTGAGGGATCAACGGTTTCGAAAGCCAATGCTCTGCAACTTCAGTCCGTCAAAAATAAAACAATCCCAACAGTTTGGCGATCGCTGCTTACTTCGTATGCTGCACAAGAAGTATCTAGGAATGAGACTTGCCATAGTTGCCGGAGGCTTGAAACCCGAACTAAGTCTCGCCAACCCAGACTTGAAGCACTGTCGGCGTGGCCATGCGAGAGGGAAAAACCCCCTTTAAACCCCTAAATACCGTAAACCCTTTAAACCCTGAAGCCTTAACTAACTTTGCCCCAAACCCTTCTGGCTCAAGCCATTGGCAAGTTTGTCGGCATTTGTTGGTATGCGCCCGGCCAGCGGATTAGACATTCAGAGATGCTTGTGCTGCTCGCGCTCGTGCGTCCGGTAGCGGACAGAACTTCAGCTGCTACTAGATTCTCCCAACTCAGGGCTCTCCAGCATGTTTGTCCGGTCTCCGGATGTCTCCGGAGAAGCAGGCGACAAAAGTGCCGCAGGAGTTGCTGGCGGCTGCAGTCGCAGAGGCCGTTCTTGACACGGAGGCGGACGGCGACTTCTTCCGGGAGCACTCGCTGGCGCCATCGTGCGGACATGCGATGACGTTCGAGGACCTGGTGCCCCCAGCCAAGCCAAGCCTGGAGCAAGTGAGTCCGGCAGGCGCAGGGGCCAGGACAAGAGGGTGTGACGTTTCCGTCGACGGGCGATGGCGGCTAGGTGCCGACTGTGGTTTCTGAAGTTCTGGCAAATGAGCCCCATTCCGATCCTGGCCTGGACGACATCCGAACGGACGAAGAATATGATGTTGTTGTAGTGGTGAGGCGGAGTGAAGAGCGGCATACATGTCTGATGAATCTCATGATTTGGCACTCGGGTCGCCTTCCCTGCTTCTCAGTTTGTCAGTCGTAGTATGAGTGTTGGCGATTAAGTTTTCACGTGAGCGAATGTTTTGACAAGCTGAATGCGAAGCCAGTTGATTGGAGATTCAACGGTCAGTGTGGCTTGCTGTGCAGACTCGGATGTGTCCGAGAGACCCAGCTCAATGGGCATTTTGGATTTTACTGCAGGAGAAAAAGTGCAGCTAAACAACCAAACCCAAACCCTCAAAACTAAGCCCTACACCATAAAAAACTAAGCCCTACACCATAAAAAACCTAAGCCCTACACCATAAACAAACTAAGCCCTTCACCATAAAACCCCAAAAAAGCTGAATCCGAAAAGGTTTCGAGCCTCCAGCCTCCATGGACCTTACGGCCTGGCACAAGAAGCACATCGAGTCGAAGGAGTGGTCAGCGTCTCATTGGGGTTTAGGGTTCAGGCGTTTTGCATCTTACACCACATGTCTCCGAGGGCGTCTAACTCCTTTGAAGTGTGTTTTCCGCTAGGTTGACCTTCCGCTTCCTTGCCGGGCTCCTCCTCGCATCAATCCATCAACCGATGAACGCTCCATTCGGCTTCTCGAAATAAGAACCCATGTTCTCCTTCATTATTTTCTTGCTCGTACATCCGAGCGGCTTGGTGGAGTTTCACTCGTCATGTCTTCTTCCCATTAATTAAATGAGACGCCTGAATCTGGGGAACCCTTTACGACGTACTCTACCACCCTAAGGAACCGGCTCTTCGCGGAGGGAAAGCTTGCTGAGAATCCGTCTCAGCATCTGTGGGCGTTCGGCGTGGCTGGGTGGGTTAAACGCCTGCTTGGCATTGAGTCACGAAGCACCCTCGAATTCATAGTTATCCCTATTTGTACGAACAGAAATTTGCTTGCTGCACATACTTAGAGCCATGAGGGTTGAAGTTCAGAAAGCGGTGGGTTGGTCTTTGGTTGAGAGTTGAGGAGGAATTGACCCCATTTGCTGCTGCTTTCAGGTGAGCACGATTTCCGCCTGCGCTCTAGAGTGAAAGCCATAAATTTGAAGAATCAGTATCCTCATGCCCTCAAGGTAAAGCATGGGGAAACCGTGCGCTAATCATCCTAAATCCATGTTCCAACTTTCTGGGGTTCACTGTATCCTAAACTGTCAACCCAAATCGCGAAAGCTAAACTCCTGAACTTCCTAGTCAAGAAACCGAACCCAAGACAGTTTCAACGCTGCCCAAGGATAAATACATAAAAAGAATACATGAACACAGAGATAAATCAACAACTGAAAGAGTGCAAAGCTGATTGGAGCACAAACGAGCGCCTGCCTGTTAGCTTTGGTGTTCTTCGGTGCGAGACTGCAAGGCAGGCGTAGGGTTTAGGGTTTAGGTCAGGGACCCACAGCACAGTCGGCGCCTCGGTTCCTGGCATATGCGTAGTCCAGGTGTAAAAAGGTCAGGGACGAAGGCACCAGCACCGAGGATGCATATGAGATGGGAGCAAAATTATCGTATATTGATTTTAACGCAGGCGGTTGTCGAAGATGGCAAATGCTAGCAGTGACCTGTAAAACGATAGGGTGCACCCTAAAGACGATACCTTCAGTACAGCACTGTAACCCTTGGCTGTCGGGAGTTTAGGTTGTAGTAAGGGTGTCGGGGTTGTCGGGATGGAAAGTTTGGAAGTGAGACGAGCCCTTAAATTGGACAGAAAGATACCCGAACGATACCCAAATGGCAGTCCCGAGTGGCCGAGGTGGGCCCGTGGCCGTTCAAGTACTGTGACAGTGCTATTCATTGGACCAGAATGCCGAAAGCCCCAACAACTGAAGACTCCAAACAGTCCAAACATCTTCAAATTCGCGAAATCCTGGAAGCTTTCAAACCCAGGCTAAACCATTGCTCCGCATCGCAGGAAGCTTCGCATGCTCTCAGAAGCCAGTTCTTCATGACTGCACGATGCCCCTTCCGAAATGCCAAGGACTTCCAAAAGGCCCCAACGACCGCAACCCAAGGCCACACCCTGGAATGCTGCATGTTCTATATTGTATCTCTCTACTCTAGAGCAATGTTTTGTTTGTTCCAGTATGCGTCGAGTTGCAAACACTGTAAAAAGATAGGGGGCGCCCTAATCCAAGAACGCAGCTGGCATAAACAAATAACTGTGAAGCCGGTTCATATGAGGTACTTTCAGGGCGCGGAAAAATCTTCTGGGTATATTCTCTGTGTGTGTATGCATGTATATAAGTATGTATGTATCTGCATAGACCACTCCAGCTTTCAGGCTTCGCTTCCAAACTCCTGCAAGCACCTGGAACTAAATCGTTCCACCTTCTTGCGACTCCCCAAACGCATCCTGCTAAAGAGGGGCTTTCAAACTAAACCCTAAACCCATGAGCCCTGGGCCCTCTGCTCCCAGGATCATTCCTCGCGGCGGCTTGAAAGTTCGATATGTCCCCATGTGGGACACGCACGAGCCCGTGCTCGTGAAGGAGCGACTTCCAAGGATTCTTGGAAGGGCGACCGGACTTTCATTTTGTCAGAAAAGCTTATACTTATGGAGAATAAAGTGAAGTATTCTTGCAGCTAGCAAGTGGTTTCTCTGAGTTATATTTATTCCGGTCCATCGGTTATAGATCTTCCTACAAGACTGCTGCAGCACATCTTCCTGCAAGAGCGGCGCCAAGTGTTGTTTCACACTCTTGCCGTACTAAGTCTATAATCTCGTCAAACACTGTGCGCAGCTGCGTGTGTGTGTGTGTATGCTTGCTTGAGCATACATATATATATATATATGAATACACATATACTTCACACAGGCATTTCATGTCTCAGGTTTAAGGCGTATACGCTCAAACCCTATTCTAATTGGCATGGCACCTGTATTGTAGGACGGAGGGACGGTTGCCGCTGCCTCTTCATACGTCGTGATACTTGCTACTAACACCCTGCAATCACGGTCCCCTGTCTCTTGCTGCAGGATCCCGTCACGAAGAAGACTGTGCAATTCAGTGAAAGACTGCATCGGTCACGCTCGCCGGATTCCCAGCACAGGTCCCTTCGAGTAGCTGCGCAGGGCAAGAGGTGCAACACTTTCTCTTTAGTTTCAGGGGGCTTGCACCTTTACTTCAGTTCAGTTTACAACTTCAAAGATTTATTGGTTTTCAGGCCAGCACGATGTCGACATGATGCCTCTTTTCTCATTCTCTAGCAAGTTTCAGACAGGTGCGGAAATTGATCCCCCCAAAGATCTGCAGCGCATTCCAAAGCGACTTCTCGAGCAGTTTTCGTGCAACCTGTCGTGAATGTGAAGGCACATCATGGAGAGACTGATGCCCAGTATAGGCACAGCGAACTCGCCCATCCCACTCAGCACAAAAACACCCCAACATCCATGCTGAAAGAGATCAGCTCAGAGTCAGCATGCCAAGGCAGGCTCACGCGCAGCCGTGTGAGGTTCGGTTTTAACGCCCTCGGTTTGGCTTGCCCCTCGGGTTCAAGTTTGGACTCAATGTTTGTGTTTCAGTCTTACGTCATTTCGATATTTCATACGTATGCCCTGCAGCTAGCAGCTGAATTTTCCCGCTCACAAGCAGCGGCCCATGATGCTGGCGTCCGGAATGCTTTGATGACTGCAGCTGATTGCCAACATGTGCGCATCGCCCAACAGGTTGACGACAGCATCCTGTATGTACATGCCAAAACTTCGTCGAAGCAAAACGCATTGCTTTTCGGTGGTGGGTGGTTAGCTTTCAGGCAAGCAAATTTTTTGGGTCCAGACTTTGAGTTGCATGAAGAATAGCAGCTTGCTTCCCATATTGCAGATTGCAGAGGGCTTGCTTCGGCATGCCTGCAGGCCACGCTGCAGCAGCTCATGAGAAGTGCCCCAAAGCTTTTCAGTCTAATACAGTTAAGCGGAGCTTCATGCTTCTTCAGATTGAAGTTGTGGCGTAAGAACATGACTGTATATGTAACCAGACAAGCTTGGCATACCTGCCAATGGAACACCAGAGAATGAGCAGGAAAGCAAACGGAACGTTTTTTGCTTGCACTGGCAACTCCGGCTCAAACTAGAGAGGCAGAGACGGTACCTGGTCCTTCCCAGTCCTAGCCATTAGTCCAGTACATGATACCAAGTACATATATATATATATACACGAGAGAGAGAGAGAGAGAGAGAGAGAGATATATATATATATAATATGTATATACTATCCAGACGTTTGTGATCGTGCAATCGGAGAGCGCGGCCTGGATCAAGGCCCACTCGCACTGCATCCACGTCTAGGTACGGTTGATTCCCAGAAGCAGCTCAGCCCTGCAAGCAAAAGGTTTAGGGTTTAGGGTTTAGGGTAAGACCAGTTCAAGCCTGTGGAAAAGGGTAAGACCACAAAAAGATGAATAGTGATCTCTTTGTATCGTAGAGGCATAGGATGTCCCATGACACTCGGTTTGGTCCCGCTTCTAGCTTTTGAAAGGAAAAGCCATCTGCGGGATCAAACCGCGAGATCGCCCACAGTATCAAACAAGATCGGCCATTAGATCTCTCAGGCTGAGGAACTTTGTGCCCCAATTAAATTAGCTTGAGTCCGGCAAACCGTTCGGTCGAACAGTCGGTGCCACCACATGAAGCTCTGATCATACCATCCCGAGTCTTACAGAGCCCAGAGCCTAAAGACGAACACTGCAAGCACAACACTTGTCTGGTAAACCCCAGGCCGCCATGCAAACTGGAAACCCCACACCTGCAAACCCCTTGAGGTGTGCGGGGCATGTTGGGCACCGGGAAAAAGGTGGTCGGAGTCTTCGAGCTGTCATGAAATGAGCTCGTGTTGTTCTTGCTCTTCGTAATTCTTTTTGATCCAGGGGCGGGCCGGGGGGGGGACATCCCGGTGCGCATCAAAGAGGATCTCATGCGCACTTCACTGTCCGTAAGACAACAGGCAGCCTCAAGAAGATGGCGTCTTCTGCTTCGGAGGAGAGATGCAGCCCTCGTTCAAAAGGGAGATCTTGCGGCATATCGTGGGCCATCTTGGGAGTACCTCAAGGCCCTTAAGGCTCTAACACCCTGAAGTATCAGAATGGCAGCCCATTAGCCTGGTTGCTGTAGGGGCCCACTTAGCACATCCTGGCATGTCATCCTGTCATGTTTGCTTCTGTCGTGGGTGCTTCAGCAGGTCCGGTACTATCTCAACAGCATGAGCCTGCAATATTTGCTGTGCTTGAACGGTAGGCACACAGTAGTAAGCTCGGACCATTTGTTGCCATTGAAACGTCTCATGGGCAACTGGTTTCAAGTTGCGGAGTTGCGTGGCTTCAGCTTGTACTTGGGTTGACTGGGTGCTCGCGTCCGTGACCCATCGGAAAAACCTGTCCGTACACGAGCAGGAGTCGCTAACTGCTGTAAAGCACTCGGAGAATTCAAGTGTGGAGGCTCTCCCTCTTCGTCACACCCGTGCAACCTTGCATCCAACAGATGTGCTGTTCGTGCACTTGCAAGCTGCTTCACACAGCACCTCTACATGGCATCTCATGCAACCCGTGAGGAGTCATGAAACGGGGGCCTCTAAGCTGAATACGAGCAGCTCTGAGACGTGCAGGAGCTGGCTATCACCGAGGAAATGCTGTTTCCATCCCACATGCATTTCGCCCTCTCTTGCCATTTAGCAGCAGATATTTGGTGGTCTGGTTTGTTGAAGTTGATCACAGGTTGCATACTTCAGGGCTTCATGAGAGCACCAGATTCCACAAATGGCTTGCAGGATCGTGTTCTGGGAGCTGATGAGCTTCGTTGTCTAGGTCGAATGCTTGGAGAAAGTTTCCTGGCTCTTCATCCAAGTCATATTAATGTAGTCAGAATTGTCCGGTCCGCAGTAGGCAACACAAGTGAGTGCCGTCTTTCTTGCTTGTTACGTTTGTGACAAACAGCTGCAACTTGAGGCGCGGAAGACTTCTTCTACGCGCCAGCCTGAGCTACATGCAGGGCTTGGCTTTATAGGACTTGGCACATCGGCTCGGATTGATCGTCTAAGGTCGTCCAAAACGCACACATCCAATGTGATTGTGTGGATGCTAGTTGGACCTTCGTTGCTTACTTGCCTGTCCAGGCTTGTGCCAGTTCTGAGCGTCGAACCGCGTCCAGAACACGTCCCGTCTGCAGCGAGCCCAAAGCCCGAAGCTCCAAGGAGGAGGATGGGGAGGATGCGCTGGAGCAGCACAGATGTTTCAGCCAGGTCCATGATTTGTGGTTGGCCCGGGCGGATATGTTGGATGGCAGATGTCGTGTTTACTGTTCGTGTACTTCGGCAAGATGTTCGGGTTAATGGCGTGTAAGCGAAAGAAGCAGAACAGCAGTGTGCGCCTGCAGAGCGTGCTTTGTGCTGACACTATAATAGTATACAGCCACAGGCTGCTTGCACCTACCGCAAGCTCCCCACGGCGTACGACACAGTTGGGGGTTATTGGTGCCGAATTGTGTTTCTCAACCTACTCACAGCATCGCAGCTCGATTGACTTGTCACACCGCCGAAGGTATCCAGCGGTTTCCGGGGGTGAGTAGCTACTGATGTGCTGGAAGGGTATCTGATGTATGCCGCCTGTCCCGACTTTTCCAGACAGCGAAACAGGAGCTGTCTTGCATCGCTCGGGAGGATGAGCCTGCGGAGCAGCCGATGGTGCAAGACGTGCGTGAAGAAGCAGCATCTGGGCATGAAGTGAGCAGGAATGCCGAGCTTTTGTAACGGCTGTATTGAACTGTTTGTTTTTGTTGGTTTGTAGTCTGCGAGGCTTACTTTTTACCCAGGACCCGGATAGGGGTGGTCTGCTAATCCGTGCCATACAATTTGAGAGGCAGGTCAAAGTAGCTGCTTTCAGACAGAAGTTCTTGAACAAATTGTCGTAGGGGTACATAAGCACTCCAGTGCTCCTCTGGGTGTCGGGTTTACCCGCGGCCCTGTGGTTGCGAGTGTCTTGAGGGAACTTCGGGCAGGAGGTGCATTTTCTATGCTTGTCGGATGTATGAAGGCCTGATAGGATGCAAAATGACCCCGAATGTTGGCGTTCGTTGTGCTTCAGGACCGACTGGTCATGCATGTCCCTGCAGCCGAAGAGGAGGACGAAAGCCCGCTGGTAAGAAATATGATTGCCAGCGAGACAACGGGTGCACTAGGTTTTTGCAGATTTTGAGCAGGGATGCCATGTTCATGGGGTCGGTGGTTTTTATCTTGGCCTGAGGTTATCGCACGGAGCCGGGCTCGACTACACACCATGTCGACAGCAATGAGATCGGCCTGCCACATGAAGATCGTAGGACAGCCCAAGAGATCTTCACAGAGCCAGCGACTGCATCTCCGAACTACGACGTACACGCTGATATTGAGTGCCAATCACTCTCACTGCCGGAGGCTTTCAGCCCTGAGGAACCAGAGAAGACGGCCGCAGGAGAAGCGGCAAACGAGACTCACGATCTTGTTCCAATCTGCCGGACTGCCTCATTTTGTAAACCACCGGGGCCATGTACGACTCTAGGCGCCGAGTCAGAAGACTCAAGTTTGGAGGATACGGCTACTGCGACACAGTCGCAGCTGACATCTGGCGAATCAGGCACCCCGAGTGCAACGATTGAGGGCTTTGACTTTGGCCATTTCGAGACGACACCACAGATTCAGGCTGATGACTCCTGCATTCTTGACTCCGCAAACGAAGTGAAATGCCTGCAAGGCTCTGGTGCGGTGTCCGATTGTGACGAGCCAATTTTAGAGGAAACGACAACCACAACACAGTCAACTGGCGAATCGGACGCCTCGACTGCAGCGATTGAGGACTTCAGCCATGTCGGGACGACGCCAGACAGTCAGGCTGATGACTCCTTCATTGACTCCGCAGACGACGTGACGGGCTTGCAAGGCTCGACAGAGGCGCCTCCATCTCATCGGGTGGACGACGAGATGACGGCAGCATCTTGCTTGAAACGGCTATGTTGTGTTTGCTGCTGTCAGAATCCCTTCTACTTGGCACCTCCGGCTTAGCGCCCTGACACCAGCGACATTCTGATGCCTTCTGTATCCGCTGTACTTGGCTCTGCCGCTTTATTAGTAATGCCACGCTGCGCACCACCCCTGGATGCAACATCTCGCGTTCTTTGCTCGAGAACGGGAGAAGTTCCACAACAACTTGTCAAAGCCACGTGTGCCGGTGCCTTCGTTTCGTGCTTTTAGAAGTGATCGTTCTCAAGCATTTATGAAACTGTTCTCCCAGCAAAACCTACGAATCTAGAATGAGGCGAAATGGTAAGCAGCTGCTTACAAATTCAAGGGCTCTAGTCACCGACATCTTGCACTTACTTTTTTGTTTGCGAGGGGGGGGTGTAGGGTGTGGTTTGGGACTGGCACGAGCAGCTGCAACGACAAAAATCAGCAACTAGAGAACAGTCATGAGCACATAAGGAACTCAAGACTTATGGCCACTTAACTTGGTTCAGTCACGCCGTTCTGTGCGTGAATAGACAGAAACATGGACATCTACAGCACGACGCGCAGTATTTTCAAAAAAGCCAACCAGTACAGGGAGATTGGCATAAGTTGTTAAACTAGGAGATTTATGGTGACATATCATGACATATCTATACATATTCATATGTGTGTAGGCATGTATGTGTATGTGGATGTATATGTAGCAAGTTTCACCGGGGAGGGCGGGCATAAGGTAATGAGGATGATGCGTGAGCGTCTGTGCCTTCATCTCAATTTTAACCGAACCCCCAGACACCAAACCTTATGTTAGCCACGCCTACGTGCTGGGCCCTAGCCTTCAAAACCC